GTTTTCCTTATAAGGTTTTTAATGAGGCACCTAGCAATGCGTCTTACTAAATATGTGTACTCTTTTTCCTTCACTGAGATTTTTTCCCACGTGGTTTTTCCTAGTAAGGTTTTAATGAGGCACATTATCTTTTAATGAACATCCAAGGGGGAGTGCTATAAATATATTATATTATGGATGTTCATTTAGTACTCCGTTGTAAATAAGCTTCTTCAAGAAGCTTATCCATATGGGACTCCACCGTAAATATGTTTATCTATTTAGTACTCTATTGGAAATAAGCTTCCTGGAGAAGCTTATCACTTCGGTACCCGGTTTTGGATAAATATTACCCCGGTAGAAGATTATCCATGCCGGGTATAATAAGCTTATCCTTTCAGTACTCAGTTATGGATAAACATTACCCCGGTAGAAGATTATCCATATCGGGTATAATAAGCTTATCCTTTCAGTACTCCGTTATGGATAAATATTGCTCACAGTAGATGATTATCCATATCTGGTATAGTAGCAGCTTACACAACAACTTCCTTTCTTCTATAAATAGAAAAGATCTTAGTTCATTATGTACATCAGTTTGAATTCGAATAATATAACAATTTCTCTCTATACTTGTCTTTACTTTACCGTTTTTATTTTATAACAAGTGTGTTTTAATTATTTTGCCTTTTGTTGTTGGTGGTGGTGGTGGACGTTCTTTCAATTTGGTAGGTAACTTTTGTCCTTTTCATGGGTTGGTGGGTAGCACTGAAACCATCAAAGAGCACAGCTCCAACCGGAGCTCGTAACCTCTTTTCCCCACCAAACTAAAGAGAAAGAATGGCGAGTGTATGGACAGCAATGACGGAGATGATCTTGGAGTACACGGGATTATCGTCGACGGCGTTCTTCACAATTGCAGCAATGATGGTGGTGACTTACAAAGTGATTTGTAGTATGTTCGTCTCTGCCGATGACTTTGTCCCCGTCAAAAGAGAGCCTCTCCACCTCGGCGACTTGACGGAAGAGGAGCTTAAAGCTTATAATGGCTCCGATTCACAAAAGCCATTGTTGATTGCTATCAGAGGACAGATCTACGACGTCTCTAGCTCCAAGTTAGTCTCTCTCTATCTCTCTTTACACACACACACACACTAAAAAATTGTTGGATTTTCGTTTATTTACTTTGATTAGATTTTGTCCAGGCTTTTGAATCTGATGATTTGCGCTAGGGCTAGACTCGATTTGGGAACAAACGGTAGTTCTGCCTCGTGTAGGATTTCATGACCCAGAAAATGGTTCAATCGACCTAAATCTTTGATTTTGAACTGGTGACTGTAAGAAGGACCGCATAGATTATATTGCATAGAGATCATTTCCACCTGCTAACAACTATTCATCATAGCTAATAACACAACACCCTGGTCATTCTTCTTTATAAGAGAGAGGAGTCATTTTTTCAATGAAGAGTAATCATTAGAAAGCAAAAAAGGTGCATAGCTTTGCATACCATTGGGTTAAGACTTGCTAAAGCACATCAAAATTAATTTGCAAACTAAAAAGGGTGAAAAACAGCCGACCTGGGAGTATACTTCATAGGACAAGGTATTTTGCGTGTAACTGCAATACTGCACTTGATAGTAATCATTTGTACTATAGGTGATTTTTTTTTATGTACTGAAAATCATCTCTTTGGATGTCAGCCTTAACTACTAAGCTAGATTTACATCTCTAAATTGACCCATAAGATTTGTGCTTTATTTTTAAAACCTTGTTGCACCCCAATAGGTCTCTTGTCACTAGGCAATTCAACCAGTTACCAAGTCTAATTAGCCTAAAGAACATTTAATTCCTATTGCATGGACTCTTGCCATGTAAAATTCAACACAATCTCTTTGCAGCTGTGTCCTTTTTGTTTTTTGGGTGTGTAGTGGCTCATGCACATGTAGCAGTCCCTTAACTAGTAGCTGACTTGCTGGTTATTATAGGATAAGCTGTTGAGGCAAAATAATGTAGCAGAAGACAAGAACTAAGTAATTCAGGGGGCCTGAAGGAATAGGACTCCATAAGCTGGTTGCTGTCTCTTTTATTTGGTAATGATTTGTCTGCTGTCAAGTAATTTTTGTTAAAGGAGCTCTGACATAGATAGGTACTAGCTTTAGAGTAACTAGAGTGGTCCCTTGCTTTAGACTAGATTATTGCAGAGTCTATCCTAGAGCAGTCCGTTGGGATAAATTTCCTAGGAAGAATACACTGCC